AATTATACCTTTTTCTAGCATTTGTTCAATATGTTTTTTCTCTTCATTTTCAAACCCCATTGGAGTTCTACGCATCTTCTGTTTGATTGGTCTTGCTCCACCAGTGTTAATTTTATGAGTTATCTCCCCATTAAAAAGACCTAAATCAAAATCATCTTTGGCAAAAACATGCTGAAATCTGTTTAACATAGAGAAAACTTCATAATGGTCTTCCTTATTTAGGTAAGTAATTGATCTATCATATAGGTCTTGTAAGTGAGGTGGTAACTGAGATCTTAAATTTTCTGACGATGGTTTAGTAATGGAGTGATCTATGTCAATCTTGTTGACAGATATTTGTTCGTCATCTTCCATATCAACCACTTCATCTATTTCCATTCCAAAACCTATATTTTCACCTTTTTTTAAAGTGACAAATCTGTCTGTTGGATTTCTAAAGGAAATGCTTGTATGCTCTGAATTAATCACAGAATTTGGAGGCATAATACCCTTAGAAAAGTTTTTTTCTGTCTCAATACAAAGTGAACCTTTGAATGATCTGTCAACTTTTACTGGTGTAATTTGAACTGTTTGAGGTGGTATGACTGTTCTTTTCTGTACAGAAACTCTGTATACCTGAACATCATTCTTAGAACCCTCTGTTTTGATCTTAGTGATTCGTACTGATGTTTGATCCAAAGTAAGAGTCAAGTTTTGCATATTGATAATACTACTGTTTGCTTTCAAAAAATCAAGACCAAGTAATAATGAGTCTGCAATCTCCCCAACCACTACATCCCACCGTTGTACTATTGGCCCTACTCTCAACTTGACCTTTTCTGCTATTTTGGCTTTGATTTATGTTTACCTACCCCTTTCAAAGTTATTTCTTTATTTAATTTTGGTTTGGGTTTGAGGGTTTCAAAAAGTTCCCAATTCATAACAGTGACTTGTGCTGCAGTATCAATCACAGCATCAATTATTCTCTTGTTTACAGTACAAGGGACATAAAGGGTGTTTTTCAATCTATCATCTTTGTAAAGGTCAATTTCTTGTAATTTAAATTTTACTTTAGGACGAGGCCTGTCTGATGTATCTGAATAGGTTGAAGAATGGCCTACATCTCCAACCTGTTGAAGTTTAAAGGCTTAGACTGGGGTGATGGGGACCTATTCCTACTTTGAAATGGTGACCTACTTCTACGATTAGGACAGTCTTTGGCAAAGTGACCTTCTTGATCAGACTTAAAACAAGCTTGTCTGTTTGGGCTACTTGAAGGGGATCTAAGTCTTATACCCTCTCTACTGTTTGACCTGTAATTGTGTTTCTGATTTGGAGCTTTTAAAATTTTTAGAATATCTTGGATGTTTGTTTTCATTTCTTTAGTGTCATCTTCTAATCTTGTGACCCTTGACTCAAGTCTTGACATTTTTGTTTGTTCTGTGTATGGTGTTGATGTTTGTTTATTGTAAAGAGACATAATCTTGCTAACTTTCTCTTCATCTTCCTCACTATCACTTTCTGAACTTTCAAACTTGACCCTTCTTGTTTCAGACTTTTTTAATACCTAAAATGAGCTTTTGGTTTGTGATTGCACTTTTCATGTATTGTGTGGCAATGTCTAATGTGTCTGGGTTTTTGTCCATGGCAATGAGTGCAGCTTGTTTATTTGTGCAGCCTCTCAAAAATGCATCTATTGCAACAGTTTTTCGACAGTCTTCAGGCGTGTCTGGATATCCGTCTGTGGTCATTTCCAGAACCTTATCCGCAAACTCGTCTACGGATTCCTCGGGGCCTTGTTTGATATCTTGAAGTTGTCTTCGTATTATATGAGGCAGGTCTTTCTTGCCAAATCTCTCATTCATTTTTGCACTCAGTTTCTTGGAGCTTTTTTGATCTGAACTTGGTCTGGAACTGAAGTATTTCAAGGCCTTGTCTCGAAGACTCTCAATAAGTTTGTCCAGTTTTTGTTCATCAGACCATTTGTATATGGATGCAATATGAGAAAACTGTGTAAAGAAGGGTCTCCAGTCCCTCTTTCCATCAAAGGTGGACATTTTTGGTGGACTTGGTCCCTTTGGCTCATCGGTGTCAGGGTTCGTAGATGGTCTTTTTGTAAATTCCCTGTGGTGCTAACTTGTCTACTTCTCGGCTGATTTTTTCATCTTCAAGTTGCTTAATTTTGTTTTCTACATGTTGTAACTTACCTACCCACCTGCTGTCTTGTTCGTTAAGTTTTTGTTCTAATGTCGCAAGTTCTTCATTCTTTGCCGTCATTTTTATTTTACAGATTGTGTTTTCGTAGTTTGCTTTTGTGTTTGCTAGTTCTGTTTCAAATTTTTATTGTAGTTTGTACATTTGTTGTTCATGTTCTGATCTTAATGTATTTTCTAAATCTTATAATTGCTGTTGTCTAGAAGTGATCTTTTTCTGACTGAACAATTTGTATGTTTTTTCTTTCATTGTCTTTTGTGAGCCAAGCTATATCTGATTGTAATTTTGCAATTTCATTTAAAGCATCTTCAATTTTGGGGTGTTGTATTTTTTCTGATTGTGTGTCTCTCTGACTCTCTCCATAAACAATCACACTCTCACTCACAAGGGGGTCCCATATTGTGCTTGGGATTGATGTTAGTGTTTTTAGATCTTCTACAGAGAGTGTCCCCTTTTCTTCCCTAAGTCTGATGATTAACCCTGCCCTTTTATCTCCTATGTTTGGAATTGTTTTTAATTCCCCAAAACTCGCATTGTTTATGTCTACAGGGTTTTCACTATTTGCCATTCTGATTCAATTTTGTTTTGTTCAAAAAATAAATAAATAAAGATAGAAAAACAGACGTGTTGTTGATTAACTATCAGAATGTCCGACAGAAAATCGAGAGTGGAATGTTTATGATCGTTATCAGAAAATCCGACAACAATCAAATCTAAATGAAAAAATGAGAAAAAAGCAAGGAAATGATAGAAACCGCCATTGAATTTATTTTTTTTTAAAAAGAATTTTATTTTATAAGATAAACGAAAAACAAAGAAAAAAAAATATGGCGCGAAATATAAACAATGTCGCACTTCACCGATCGGGAGATCCTACCGGCGACGTCAATGTTGTGAAGTGCGTTAGTACAAGGAAATACAATCTATTTAGTTAGTATAACTCGTGAAATGGTGAGGGGTAACAATAAGTTACAACCCACCTGAGCTGTGGACTCCGGACGGTACAGTGTCGTCAGACGTCTGTGTCAATCCAGGGTATAATCACAACTGGCTTAATATGGTAGTAAATCAGCTGATTGTGACGTATCAAATATTTGAATCCCGAACCCGAACTATTTTATAAACCTTTATTACTACAAATTATATAATTACAAATGTAATAACGCTAAATGTAATAATCCTCAAAAGTGTCTTGTTACATTTTGCGTTAAATTACATTCTGCGTTGATTTCGACGCAAAATGTAATAACGCAAAATGTAATAATCCAGGTTTATTACATTTTGCATTGTTATTGCATTTCGCGTTGTAACAATGGTTACATGTATCTTGGTGTAAAAATTACATGTGTTATTTTTTTTCAAAAAAAAAATCTCTCTAATTCATATTTCTGCAAAACACCTAATATATTTATATATAAGGAAATTGATAAAAAGTAATTTATCCTAAACATTCGCTTTTGTTATATCGCATACGTTATTCAAAAACCAAATAAAGTATTTATGAAATATGGAGATAAAGAACAGTATTCTAGCTCAAAGTCAATTTATACAATACAAATCAGGAGCAGTGCTAATACGACCCTCCAAATATATCTAAGGTGGAATTAATATGAGAGTGAGCATCCCCTGCCGACCGGTCAAACACGCCATGTGTTCCTTGCCATGGTTTGGAAAAACGGAAAAAATCTTAACACAATCCAATTTGTAAATTATTGCCTTCAACTAGTATGAAAAACGTCGGTCATAATTGATTAATTTATAGATTGTTTTCGGCAACAAGGTTATTGTTTCTACCGTAAAACTAAAAAATGATGAATTTAAACGAATTTGTTGATACCCTTTTTCCATCAACTTATTTGTCAATACCTTGAATTGTTTTAGACTTTGTTCATATGAAGAGCATGCTATTGCGTATCGAATCAACTGAGCGATGTCGATCCCCATATTCAGGTGAAAAGAGTATATTTCTAGATAAGTAAGGCAAGATGACAATTGAAATGATGCAGTCATTCCATTTTTCACAAAGCTGTGTTTAGGCTTGATCTATCTTTTATTAAGTGCTCTCTTTTATGCTTTTCGATGTTTGACAAAATTTAACTATAGTGTTGAGAGAAGTGGACAGCGATAAAATTATAAAAAGAATTTTGAAATTAAAATAAAAAACAGAGAGTCTTAAGCAAAACTGAGCTTTACCATTAACATATTTAACTACTTTGATTTTGAAAGGAAGACATTGATGAAACACTATGCATATTTATCGCAGTAAACAACTTTGTGTGTAAATACGAGGGTTGATCCAAAAGTAATGTCACAACTTCGATAAAATTGCTTCTAGTCGACGTAAATTAACAAAATTATACATGATGGTAGCTACATTTATTTCAAATCAGTCCTGAAAAAATCAAATTGAAATACTTTATACTTTCCCAAATATCGAATTATATACAAAGTGCAATTATGGTAGTCGCCGCACCCCAATAACGTCATATGACGGATATGCGCCGTCACACAGTTTTAAAAACGCTTCCCCATCGTTTCATTAAAAAATTGATATTCGAAAACACATTAACACATTTTACTTTCTTTAAGAATTATTGTCACCAATTGTACACTCTATCGGTAATTTAGTCCTTCATCAAAATTCTTTGAACAGTACCATAAGACAAACTTAAAAGTTTCTCATACAATGTATCACTCAAACCGTGTGACACGAATCTCTTTTTTTTCACAACGTTGACGCCATTGGACGTTTCCACCGACCTCGTATCTTTCGGTCTTCCTGTCCTCAGCTGATCAATTAATTACCCATGACTCGCCCAGAATCTCTGAAACCATCTATGATCAAGTCTCGTTTTTACATTATTTCCTCTGCGAGTCTTATTTACCATCGTAACTGATTCCAATGGCGATTTCCCAATTTTTAAGGAAAAACGCATTAAAACTCAGTTCGGCGTTTTATTCAATTTCGACATTTCCTTTCTTCAATACATCAGATATAAACAACAATGTTTATGATAAAAAACAATGTCGCCATTTTATTTTTAACTAAAGACTAGATCGAAATTGTCAATTTTGTCTTTTTTAAAATATTGGATGATTAGACGCTTTTTTTAATTGCCTTTTTAAATGTATTTGTCTTTTTCATTCTAACAACATACACTTTAAAACGTGACGTTTAGTTTTGACGCGGCGGCACCCCCTATGTCTAATGTTTTAAACGTCTATAAAATAAATTCAATTAAACATTATTAAATGAAATTTTCAATTTTGAATAGATTTCTTTTTCTGCATCTTTTGGTGCATTATATTTGATAATGTGACGCCAAATATAAAGGATATGGACACAGTGACATTACTTTTGGATCAACCCTCGTATAACATGCATTAGCTCTTTGGAAAAACTAAAAGTCTGTGAAATTTATTTCATGTATATTCTTAAAACATTTTTATGGGTTTCAATATCTTAACATTAGTGTTATGACTTGCCAACACTTTCAAGTTTAGAGGAAATTGCAAATTCAAGAAATTATAGAATCGATTGATTGATTGATTGTATATTGTTTAACGTCCCGTTCCAGAATTTTTCACTCATATGGAGACGCCACCACTAGCCGGTGGAGAGCTGTAAATTGTGTCCTATATACTCGGCACTGAGGGGAAATTGCAAAGATACTGCATTATCGTCTTTGCTTTTTCCCTTTGCGAAAGTTTAAACAGAAGGTGTCCTAATGAAAAAAGCAATATTTATATTATACATTTTTTTAAATGTTCAAATGGTTTTATTTTTCATATTGCAGACTGTCCTGTGTCATGGATAAGGAATGGAGGGAGTAGTTATTGCTTTGTGAAAAAGAGACTGCAATGGAGATCTTCAAAGGTAGGGACTTTAACTAAAGATTAGTGGACAAACCTTGCATCAAGTCTCTACTTCGCGACTGTGGAGTAGACACTCAAACCACTACGCCACGCGAGCAACCATACAACATAAATTGATTGATTGTATGTTATGTAACATCCCGTTTCGAATATTTTTCACCCATATGGAGACGCCACCACTTGGCAGTGGAGAGCTACAAATTTTGTCTTTTACTCGGCACTCAGGCCACTGAGCAGTGCGGGATCTTTTTCGTGCTAGCACCGACTGCGATACAGGACCTTGGTTTATACGGTCTCATCAGAAGGGCCGGTCTCTACGTTCCACAGTGGGTTTAAACTTCTTACTTCGCGACTCTCGAGCAGACGCTCTAGCCACTGCGTCAAGCGGGCGACTTAATCATTTTGAAGTTAAAGCAGTTAAGGGGAAACAAAAGAGGCACCATGCAGTTGGATATTCAAGAGGTGGTGTTATTCAAATATAGATGCTAAAAGCTCAAAAAAATTTTTTGGATATCATAGACAAATACATTGTCAATAAAAATTAACTCGTATATGTATCTTCCTTGTCATATTTCATTTCGGAATTTTTGTCAAAATCATTCCGATGGCATCACTAGTTCCCTAAATTTCATAATAAAAAGACGCTTGAGTTTCTGATTAACAAAATCTATGTGGTTTAAGGTCTTCCCACCGTCTTTTGCAATTTCCACCAATGTATACCAATTGTGTACCAATTGCACCTTGTTATTAGCCAACCTTTTTTGCATTCATGAATACGAAACAAAATTAATTCAAAAGGTTCTATATGCGAAGAAGAGAACACGTGCTCTGGATTTCAACTAGAATTTATATAGTAGTATAACGACAACGTACATTATCACGGAAATAAGACATTAACGAATGACGAAATGTATTGTATGTCTTTAGGTTACATTACTTTTGTTTCTGCTTTCGACAATAATTTTACCAAGTCAATGTACACCACATATACCTATAAACTGCAATTAAACTCTTTTCCAACTAATTTCACGTATAGAATCAGAAAAAAACAAATGATAATTCCGTCTCCTTAACCAGATGAGGAACAATTCTTTTGAGTTGTGGTGAGTTATTCGTCAAGGAACGAATCGGCCGAGGTGCGCTTAGTAACAATCTTTGGTAAACTCTCTGCCCATTGGAGAAATATGTCTGGTGAACCGAAACTAGAATATCTATTTGTCCTCTTTCATTTTAGGAAAGCTGCATATCTATTGGAGCACATCTTCTGGCAATAGAAACTGAAGTTAAGAAAACATGGATTCAAGACAAAGGTACAGTTTTGCATATTTTTGTACTATACAACATTTTAGCTCAGCTAGGCTGAAAGTTGAACAGGATTGTACCTTAATATTGTTAATTTCAGCCTCTCGGGACTCTTGGTGGATCGGGGGTACTGATTCAAACTCGGAAGGCACGTTTTATTGGGAACACTCTTCCAAGACAATGACTTACACAAACTGGTATTCTAATCAACCAAACGGTGATGCAAACGAAAACTGCGTTTCAATGGAAGGCGACGGATCCTGGCATGATTACTCATGCAATCACACGTTTTACTATATTTGTGAAAAATAACCGAACACAGTAAAATGTAAGCTATACAAGAGAATGACCAAAATCGTAATTTGATTTATAAATGTAAAATATCAGATCTCTGGAACATTTTGGATAAAATTTTTGTAACAAGTAAATATGTTACATATGCCATACCAATTTTCAATGTTTTGTTTTTTTTTCTCTCTCTCTCTCTTATTTTCAGAAATGATAGCTACTTACATGATAATCTATTTGTCATATGCTACATCACACCATTTATTGATTTACTAGAAGCGCAGAAATAACGGGAAAAATCTCGCAGTTTTCAATTGTTTTCATTGAATTTGAAACAGTGCTGCACGCAAAGTGAAAACTTGTTACATGTAACAGTCGTCTTTAAAAAAATATATTACAGAACAGTTTCTGCTGCATACAGTTGCCGTTTAAGGACAACGTACCTTACTGATATTTTTTCAAGATATTCTTAATTTAAGATTATAGTGCCATCAGATGGTTATAGACAAAATTCAGCATGCATAACCAGATTTTGAAAAGATTAAAATAGATAAAAATTCTTTAATAATTCAAAGAAAAATAAACAAAAATTAGTAAACACATATTCAAGATATATTGTTTATTCAAACTTGTTTTAGAAGAAGTGTGTAACAACATATATGGACATTAAAATGTAGCGCACAGTTCCTTTAAGTATTGGAACTCTTCCACTCCATAGGAAAAGACGATAAAGTTCTAACTACGTTGGCTTGCGTATGTCCTAAAAACAGTAAAAGTGTGTTTATATGACCGTTGGATCATAATATTTCATGATGTATTTATAATTTGAATAATTTAATCAATTTTCTTTCTCTGTTTCCATTTTATAAACTTAATAAAACTTCATTCATTTTCTCATATTAGTGCACCCATGCTGATTTTATGTAGGTCAATGCTAGTTTTATCCTTTGCTTACTGATGCTCATCCTAACATTGCAGAATTTAATCTTTTAATTTATCGTATACTAATGTTTATTTATGTAAGACTATAACTTTCCTGCACTGTCAAACTATATATAATAATATCAAAGAAAATAAATTAGCTTTCAAATACTAACTGAATCTCCTACCTACCTCAGTTATCCGAAGAGTCAGCACTGCACAAAACATGACTTGATTTTTGCGCATATGATTTATATTTCAGTTTTCAATTTTAAAAAAAACCCAATTCGAATAAAACTTTGTATTTAATTTTTTTTTATGGATTTTTCGTTAACATTTATTTTAAAACTTTTTATTAATTCCATATTTCATATAACATGTATAAATACAGTTTTTTTTGCATTGTTAAATTTCAAAAGCGCAAAGCAAATATTTATTTATTTTATTATTTCAAATTCCAGGGGTCGACAAAACGCATTTTGTCCAAAACCTCAGTCAATAAATGTTTTATTATATCTTAGATTTTTTATTTTGACATATATATCATGATGTAAATTTCGTTTTCTTTCGAATTCCAACGATTGCAAAAAAGACCCCGTCAATCCTGTGTTGTAAGCGGTACAACATCTCATCGACATATCCGACATCTCAAACTGCGGTCGAACATCGACTAGTGAATGCATTTTCACTATATAATCAGTAGAACCCCGCTCTAACAACAGAACCCGTGACCTAGGGGCCATCAAATTCACAATTTTGGAAGAGGCAGACTTATATTCAACATAACTATGTACTTGGTCAGTTACCAGTCAAGAAAATGAGTTCTACTGTAATAATGAATTTCTTAACTTCACAAAAATTATTACAAATAAAGATATGTTATTGGGTCTAGCAAATGCTCCATCAAGCTCATATGTTGACTCCTTGCGAAATATTCAATACACTGAAGAAAGACTTCAAAATAACGCACTGTTATACAGCATATTCTAAAAGTGGCGAAAATCAGATGTGGACCCTCAAAATCTCTAATGAAATTTTTAGAAAATTTAAATCAAATTTTCCAAACGTCTATACCATCAACACTTACGATTTTCCACACTTTGTACAGCAATTACATTTACTGATGTCTTTCCTTATATAACAATGATAATGATATCGAAAATCAATTTTCAATGACATGCAGTTGGTCACACGATCCGATTTTCTTGCATATGGCAAAACTGCACGAGCCATTTGGAAAGTTCATATTGTGACGTCACATAATGTCGTAGAAACGTTATTTTGCATTTCCATTACAAAGTCTAAATAGTGCCTACTTTGCTTTGTCACGGGAAAATAAAATGAAAATAAAATTTTATTTAAGAAATAAAATATTATTTTTAATTTCACTGGAAATGGCTGGAAGTCGGTACGTATTTGACCGTTACCGACTTCAGGTCATATCCCAGTGAAAATCTAAAAATGATATTTTATTTCTTAAATATGAATTAAAATCCAGACTTTATGATATCATAGACAACTGCTCCTTCAATAAAATCGGACTTTGGGATTCTTCACATCTTGTGAATTATCATATTAGGCAAAATTACTTCAGTTGTATACTTCGTTACTTTGTACCACTAGACACACAAATACTTTGACGTTGTATCATTTTAGCGGAAAATCATGCAGGTTCATTTGTGTTTCAGGCATGCCTTACTCGTTTATCATACAAATAATAAAAAGTAAACTTTCTACGAAAAACTAAACAATAATAAAGTCAAGTTTACTTTATTGATTTTTAAACATCGATCTTCTGTCTCTGTTTCTCTGAAAAAAAAAGAAAGAAATGACAATAGATACTTTCAAAAAGAAGACTTTAAAACTTAATTCTATCATTACTTTTTGACAATTTTGAAAAATCCTAAAAAAAATGTTTAAACAGTATAACTCAGAAATACTTTATCTCAATAATGTTCGTTAATACATTACTCTTTATTAAATTCTTTTTCATATAAGGAAAAAAAAGGGAAAAAAGAGAAGAAATCATTGTAAATGGACAATATAAGTTCACATCTGCTGGCAGACTGTTAGTGCCCGACATTCTCTACAGCCCAGGAGCAAAGTACATCGGTATTTGAAAATGCGGATAAATATTTTTAAATTGCTGTGGCCAAAATAGAGCTTAATTTCAAAATTAAGGATTGATTCCCTCATGCATAGTTCTGATCTGTCGATGTAATTGGCTCCGGTCTTTGAAACCTCTTTTTTCTGCTCTCAAAGTATTTTTTAATTAGATGTGTCGTATTTCCAACGTTTCGGCATTGGCATCATTGAAGAGACATAATTTGTCGATATGGGTATCTGGTGCATCAAAATTCGTACCGTTTAAAATTTACAACTTTCTCCTTATCTCGTTCGCTTTGTGATCCAAACTCGTGGGTTCGAACTCCTGCCGCGACTGATCGAAGTCGATAAAAATACGTGGCAACTATTCCTTCGCATAGCACCGGCCACTTTGAGCATGTTGACATAAAATTCGAATGAGACCTTTAAAACCGAGGGCCCGTGTCAAAGCAGACGCTGTCACGATAAAGAACCCTTGCAGCATAATAACCCTCAGTGCCCAGTAAAAATCTAAAATTGAAGCCCTTTATTGGCATAAAGTGACGTCTCTATATGAATGAAAAAATTCTCCAATTGAACGTAAACAACATAGAATCATTAATCAACAATCCACACCTGCTATTTTAAGGGATATCATCGGGCAATTTTATAGTTGCTGTACGGATATAAATGGTGGAGGTATACCTCTATGTGATGGAAGTGTTGAAAGCAATTTATAAAATATATGAATGAACATGTACTCATGTACTTTATTTTAAATTTAAATATTGGAAGCAATTTAAAATTCCTCTGTTTATCCAAAAATAATTTATTTTAAATGTAACGCGTCATTTGATTAGATAAAAGATTTAATCCATTTCGTATAACATGAGTTGCCTATGTCACAACTAGTTACGTCAAAAAACGTGTTACTCTTTTCTATTGAAATTATTGCTCAATTTGAAGCCTTTATCTAGACGAAAAATTTTCCACATTGAGATTAAATTATAAGGAATTAAGTTTATTACAACTTAAGTTATACGATATAACATAACTTAGGCAGTAAAACGCTTTTTATAAACCTGTTTATAAAGCGTAAACTGTCCCAAGTTATGTTATATCGTATAACATGTTGAAATAAGCTTCTTTCAAAGTAATTTGAACTGGTTATCGATTTTGTTTAATTTATTTAAAGCATGCATTTTAATGGATTTATTTTTTAAAGACTTGGGAATAGAAAATGTAAAACTATATATATATAACACAAAAGAGTTAAAGATGGAAAAGAAGTCATAATGGAAACTTACGCCAAATATAATAAACTTACTAAGTCTATGCAGAGGTTGAACACAGTTAGGACCAATCCGTCCATTGGGACATCCACATCGATTCCTAGGAAACTTAGAAGGTGGTGCCATTTCTGGCGCCATTTCATCATAAGTAAAAAAGGTCTATATAAAAATCATGATAAAAGACGGAATACTGCAAAACCATTCATATTCGTATGAAAGTATGATACTATAATATCGACTTTATTTTTAGAGGAATAAAGGCTCTTGAATTTTAAATCAAATTTGTGGCATTAGAAAAAAAGATAATAACGTCCCAACTCCTGAAACACTGAAAGCGGGGGATCATACACGATGTACATAAAGGTATGATAAACGTTAGTCATATTCTTTAAAAAGAAAAAAAACCTTCTTGACTAAATCTATTATATTGATTGCAGTATTACTTCGCTATTTTAAAATGTTTTTTTTTCCGATTTTTAGGACAGAGACATTATTATTCAATTATATGACCTTTTTAATCATATCTTTTTATTTCTCTAAACGTTTTTATTTGGTTTTGAATCAGGATTGTATTAGGACAATAGAAGAATGAAAAGAACCCCATGAGTTACAACGCTCACCTGAGTAACAATGACCCTGCTGTTCTTCGCCTGACTCACCTGATGCCCCCTTGGATTACCTATTGTGTCCCCGCCCTACTCTCAAGAGTCATGATATGAATGATTAAAAATCTTCACTACCCGAGGACGTTTCCTCATAAGTTGCAGCTTTTCTGGTCCGGTGGTTTTTTTAGAAGAAGATTTTTAAAGATTTTTTCTACATATTTCAATGTAAATATTCTTTGTTGTAACCCTGTTT